GGAATGATTTTTTTGTTTTAGATTTTTTGGGTGCTGTAACTCCTAAGAAACGGCGAAAATGATCATCTTTGCTAGGAATCCCTAAGTTCAGCAACCCTAAACCCTAAACCCTAAACCCTAAACCCTAACCCTAACCCTAAACCCTAAACCCTAAACCCTAAACCCTAAACCCTAAACCCTAAACCCTAAACCCTAACACCTAAACCCTAAACCCTAAACCCTAAACCCTAAACCCTAAACCCTAAACCCTAAACCCTAAACCCTAAACCCTAAACCCTAAACCCTAAACCCTACAAGGAGTGGGCAGCTTCGCCATGAACACCGTGCAGTTCCGAGGGGAGCTGGAGGCCATCGAGGACGCTGCGCTCAACCTCCAGCAGCTGGAGGAGGGCCGCCTGGTTCAATGGTAGGGTTTAGGGTTTAGGGTTTAGGGTTTAGGGTTTAGGGTTTAGGGTTTAGGGTTTAGGGTTTAGGGTTTAGGGTTTAGGGTTTAGGGTTTAGGGTTTAGGGTTTAGGGTTTAGGGTTTAGGGTTTAGGGTTTAGGGTTTAGGGTTTAGGGTTTAGGGTTTAGGGTTTAGGGTTTAGGGTTTAGGGTTTAGGGTTTAGGGTTTAGGGTTTAGGGTTTAGGGTTTAGGGTTTAGGGTTTAGGGTTTAGGGTTTAGGGTTAGGAACTTGGAGGTTCAATGGTACTTTTTGTAACCCAATGATAGCTGTACTTATAACCCAAGTATACCCCTACCAGGGTACTTAAGGGCTAAGACCCTAGGTAGCCTTTAGCCCTGTTTAGGGGTAGTCGAATCCCCTTTGTAAATCCCAAAAAGGCTAACCTTTAGCTCCCCCAGGTTGCTAGTAAGGGCTTCTACCTAGTAGTGGAGTAGGTAGCCTTTCACCTTTTTGGGGTAGCATCATCCCCTTTGTAAATCCCAAAAGGTTAACCTTTAGTTCCCCCCAGGGTTGCTGGACAGCCAAGGCCACCTGTGCTACCACCTCAATGAGCTCATGCCACGGCCCGAGGCTGTTGGCATCTTTGTCGTAGTTTGGGGAACATTTTGCATGCTTAAGGGCACTTAAACCCATTTTTACATCTTTAGAGGGTACTTAAGCACAATTTTGCATTCTTAAGGGTACTTCAACCCAATAAGGAATAGAAAGTTAAATTTTTAATATTATCCCAACCATGAACTAGGCATGAGGATGCTGGAGCCACTGTGGATTGCCATCCCCGGCGGGCTCGTCATAGTGTGCTTCTTCCTGGCCTGCTGCTTTTCGGCGTTGTGTGGGCCAGGGCCACGCTCCAAAGAGCGGCCTCGCACGTCGGAGTGAGATAGGTTGGGATGTTCCGGCACCCCTACCATAATCCCGATTAAGCACTGTTCGAACAAGGGGGAAGATATCGAGATAGAATAAAACAAAAGCTTGCGCATGATTTTCGCGTGTGGACAGAGGCGCCCGCCTTTTCCCTCGTAAAAATCAGGTGTTCTCGGACGTACCTTGTTTGCTTTCATATGAGTTGTTGCTTCTACCTTGGTGCTACTGAGTTGGGCCTCTCTGTTCTCAGAACTTGGCTGCTGCTGAATCAGCAGTCAAGCTGCTCTTCAGAAGCTTGTGAGCATGGGCCACCAGCACCTGTGCACAGGCTACACTTACCGTTGGTTAGTAGGGAATGGGGGAATGAGGTACCCTATGTAATCCCTTAAGGGGTATAGATTTAGGGCCCTAATTCCCTTCATTCCCTGCCAACCAATCGTAGGCTTACAGATGTCTACAGACGAAGCTAAAGCTGTCTTATGAACCTTCAGGTTATCTTCAAAGGGAATTTGGCAGATACTCAATATTCTACCCAGATTTTATTGGGCCATATCAGGGTTCAAACAGGGAGAGAGGACTTGGCTTCTCTGCCCAAAGACTCTCATGGTCTCATTGCGGCCACTTCAGACTTCGCGCTTTGCGTGCAGCGGATTCATCCGTGAAAGTGGTTTCAGTAGTGAAGAGCATTGTGTAGCGTTCACTTCTTGAACCTGCGCTGCACCAGTCCTGCCACAACGGCATTGGGTGCGACATCTGAGGCAAAGGCGTTTTGTGCCGGCACTAATTAGAGATGGCACAGCTATAAGCTGTCAAATGTTCATGTGCCTTGCGTGTGGCTGATTCTGCAAACCGCAACCAAGCAATCAACAACCATCAAGAGCTCAGCTCCAGAGGCATTGAGCCTGCGTGCATCAGCCGCCCAAGTGCAGCATGACCGGCCACGGCAAAACACGGGCTTGAGCTCGTGGACATACGCTGTTTTAAGGTCCTTAGATTCCTATTTGCGCAGGTGCGCTTGAAGTGCGCCGTTGTGGATACTCGATGTGTCTTCCTCCGACCTGACTTTTTCTGCTTTTCGATCCCGCCGGTTCAGGTGGGGGTTGGAGGTGCTGCGCCGGTTCAGGTGCGGCTGGCATTGAGATTCGGGTGCTCAGGCATCCGGACGAGCATTGACGTCGGGGGGAAGGAAAGGACGAGCCAGGGTGATCTCGTGATCAATACAGATATAGATATATATACTATAATATAACATAGCATAATATAATATAATCGTAGATTCAACTATATTATATTATATTATATTCGATTATATTCTATTATATTCTATCATATTCTATTATATTCTATTATATTATCTAGTATGATATTATGTTGTATGGCATTATGTTATCTTATCCTTGTAGTATCTTCTATTATGTATACACAAAACGGGTGCCCTTCTTTGGCTTAAAGGGGCTTCTAAAGGGAACCGAGACGTCCGGGCAATTCTCGTCGTTCGGTGTTTCAGCCACCTCTCGGTACCCAAGCATCGCAACATCTCCCTCCCAAATGCTGATTGTTGGTTAGTAGGGAAGGGGGGGAATGAGGTTTTAGGGTTAGGGTTTAGAGCTTAGGGTGCCCTATGCAATCCCTTAAAGGGTATATGTAGGGCCCTAATTCCCTCCTTCCCTGCTAGGCCACAGTGAGGATGGTCGTTTCCCAGTCGCACCGGCCCTTGCCATGAAACCCTAAACCCTAAACCCTAAACCCTAAACCCTAAACCCTAAACCCTAAACCCTAAACCCTAAACCCTAAACCCTGTACTTGGAGGTTCATGGTACTTGGCAACCCAATGATAACCTGTACTTATATCTGAAATACAACCCTATTCGGGGAGCGAGTCTGCGGCGTTTTTTTGGTTCCATCCCGATCCCTCGGCCGGAAGAAGGAATAGTCAGGGCAGGCATTTTTCAAGGGATTTAGACTCGCACCCCTAAGGATGTGCCCCCAAAGGTGCCCTTCAAATGTACTTCTAGTATGGCCCTTGTATTCCCTTCGGGATTCTTAAAAAGGGACCCCAACACCCAAGGGTACAACCTTAAGGGTCCAAGGTAGAACCCCTACAATCTTGGCAAAACCTGGGCAGGACATCTCCGGACCCGAGCTGCCCGGCCGTCCGACTTGTGAGCTTCGCTCTAGTCGGAGGCTCATGGTACTCGTACTTAGAAACCCAATTATATCTGTACAACCCAATTCTAACCCTATTTGGGGCTTATATACCACTTCTGATGGGTTACGAAGTACCCTGAGCCTCCAAGTAGCCTTGCTACACCTTGCTACACGAAACTTTGCACTCTCCGAAACAAGCTGAGCCGCGATGCAATCTGCTAAGTGCAGGCCGCCTTCGCTCGAAGTGCAAGTCTGAAGACCCCTTTGGGGTTTCGGGTGTAGGGTTTAGGGTTTGGGGTTTAGGGTTTAGGGCTAGCCTTTGGAGTTTGAAACCCACAAAAGCTCCTAGGGTTTAGGGTTTCAGGTAGAAACTCCATCAGGGCTGAGGGCGTAGGGTTGTATATCTCAAGGCATAGGCCCTTGTGTTGTATAGGAGATATAAAGGGGTACGTAAGGGCTCCCGATGGAACCCGTGGTTTTGGTTTGTTGTGGATGCTTTTTGGAGGTGGGTGCTTTCGCGTTGGGGAGTACCTGGGCCCGCGCCCCCACACCCGCAGCAAAAACACACAAGCTTTCCCTCCACGGGGCCCCCGGGACCGCGTGCCACGTGCCGGGACCATACATATTTTCACAAAATTTGCATGCCTTCTTCACGAAGATCACACTTTCGCCCAATGAGGCACTTTAACATACAGTCGCGTGTTTGTTTAGGCTCAATGTCGCGATCTTCGAAGCTGTCGTCACTTCTGCGTTCGTGAAAAATCAAGGTTTTCCTATCGACAGGCAGACGATATCCGGGTCTTTGTTGTGGCAACATAGTGGAAATCGATGGCTCTCTTTTTATGTAGAGTTAGCTTTGATTTGGAGCTTGCAGTTTGTGGCCTATGCAGCATTCAATTCAGGAGCACGAAACCTTAAACCCTGAATCCTAGACCCAAAACCGTAAACCGTAAACCGTAAACCCTAAACCCTAAACCCCACTGCAACTTGGCTGCTCAAGGCGAGAGAAGCAGAATGGGACCCCATGGATAGGGTAGATCCACGAGGCAGCAATGAGGAGTAACAGCCACCCTGGTACATCCCTAATTTGGGATTTAGGGTTTAGGACCCTGAGCCCGCTCAACCCTACATTGATTGCAGCTCGAACCCAGGCGGTGCTTGCGAGTAGGTTTACGCCTTAAGTGCATGTCGCTTCACTTTCGAAGATCCAGCGCTTGATGCAGCATGCCGGCCGACGCCGTTGAAGCAGGTGACGGTGCTGGTTTGTGGACATTTCGGGTTTGCTGCGAAAGGAGTTTAGACCCCTGGACCAAAGCCTTCCTAACTCTCCCTCAAACACCTCCAAGGGCCTTCAAACATCCTGCAAATAGGGTTTAGGGCTTAGGGTTTGAGACCATGAAGCCCCTGAACCACTCCAAGAATCCTTTCAAACCTTTCCACTCTCATGTGTCATTTGCATCATGATTGGTTCTTATCACGAAAGCTCCCATTGGGAGTGCCTCCTTGTACCGTCTAACCCTAAACCCTAAACCCTAAACCCTAAACCCTACACCCTAAACCCTAAACCCTAAACCCTGAACCCTGAACCCCCAAACCCTAAACCCTGCACCCTAAACCCTAAACCCTAAACCCTAAACCCTAAACCCTAAACCCTGAACCCTGAACCCTGAACCCTAAACCCTAATCGGCCCTGGCCCATACAGTCTGCTTTCTGGTCTCCTGGCTAACCCTCCGACTGCCATGGGGACCCTTTTTTCTTGCTGTTGGTTAGTAGGGAAGGAATAGTAGTTCCCATAGTAGTTCATTCTTTCATCCCCCTACTAACCCAAGAGTAAGTTTTTTGAGGCAATGGCACTTCCCCCCATTTCCCCGGCTTGTGGTGCGGCTGGTTTGACCATGCTGCCCTCCCCCCCCTCTCCTCCCCGCCTTTTTCGCATTGTTTTCTGGTGCCGTCTGGCGCAGCATATTTCGAGATCCTGATGTGGAGACGATTTACACTAGCCACTCCTCCTCCCCGTCTCGCGGGATGTGGAATCATGTCGGCTCCACATCAGGATTCAGCGGCAAGGATGAGTCAGGGTGTCATGGCATGTCTCTGCCCAGGCGATCGGGGAGGCGCCGCGGCGCCCATCGCCAAGCTCTCCCGGCTGGCTCTCAAGGCGGGTCGGGGGTGGAGTATCTTTGAAGAGGCTTCTGGGGTAGCTTACGGGAATCTTTCTGGGTTGCTTTTTCCAGGCTTCGGGTAGTTTAAGGTCGCTTGCAGAGAGAAGTCTCCGTTTGGGCCAAGGGCCCAAGGGAGGGTTCAAGTTTGGGGTTTAGGGTTTCGACTATGAGTTGTCTTCATCTCTCTCCGAGCCCGACAAAGAGTAAGCTGGAAGCTCTGGAACGGTAGCAGCCACCAACTCAAAGACACCAAACACAAAACCCGACACCTGGGATGTTCCCCCTTCCAGTACCAGTCCTGAGTAGGAATTATAGTACCCCTTACTATAATCGGGAACATCCCAAATAACTCCCTGAAAAGGGCACTACTACTACTACTACTACTACTACTACTACTACTACTACTACTACTACTACTACTACTACTACTACTACTACTACTACTACTACTACTACTACTACTACTACTACTACTACTACTACTACTACTACTACTACTACTACTACTACTACTACTACTACTACTACTACTACTACTACTACTACTACTACTACTACTACTACTACTACTACTACTACTACTACTACTACTACTACTACTACTACTACTACTACTACTACTACTACTACTACTACTACTACTACTACTACTACTACTACTACTACTACTACTACTACTACTACTACTACTACTACTACTACTACTACTACTACTACTACTACTACTACTACTACTACTACTACTACTACTACTACTACTACTACTACTACTACTACTACTACTACTACTACTACTACTACTACTACTACTACTACTACTACTACTACTACTACTACTACTACTACTACTACTACTACTACTACTACTACTACTACTACTACTACTACTACTACTACTACTACTACTACTACTACTACTACTACTACTACTACTACTACTACTACTACTACTACTACTACTACTACTACTACTACTACTACTACTACTACTACTACTACTACTACTACTACTACTACTACTACTACTACTACTACTACTACTACTACTACTACTACTACTACTACTACTACTACTACAAGGACATAGAAGGTATCTACTTCCCTATGGCAGGATGCCCTGCTGGAGTTGGAGATCGTGGCTCGGAAGACCCGCGACGCGTCCTCGGCAGCAGCAGGGCCCCCCAGTTTCATGACGTACTTAGGGTGTAGGGTTTTAAGGTTTAGGGTTTTTGCTTGGTTTAGGGTTTAGGGTTTAGGGTTTCGGGTTTAAGGTTTAGGGTTTAGGGTTTAGGGGTCAGGGTTCAGGGTTCAGGGTTCAGGGTTTAGGTTTATCTGCAAAACGGTTCGTTGTTTGGTAAGTATACATTGCGTATATATATATATACACATCTTTATATGCATATAGAATGTGTTCGCACAAACATATGCTATGTGCACCTGCACCCTCAGCCCTCGAGACCCTAAAGCCCTGAGACATTCACGCTGAAAAGTAGCATTAAGCCCTAAGCTGAGACCCTAAACCCGACACCCTAAAACCTTCAAACCCTACAACCTAAACCCTGGCCCCAAACCCTAAACCCTAAACCCTAAACCCTACACCCTACACCCTACACCCTACACCCTAAACCCTAAACCCTAAACCCTAAACCCTAAACCCTAAACCCTAAACCCTAAACCCTAAACCCCTAACCCCTAAACCCGAAACCCGAAACCCGAAACCCCGAGCTTCGAACCCCTGATCCTCAAGGTCCTGCAGCTCTTCCAGTCGGCTGAGAAGCGCTTCGGTGTGGAGGTCCCAAAGTTTAGGGTTTAGGGTTTAGGGTTTAGGGGGTATTCGGGTGTTGAGTATTCTGCTTGTGATGATGGTGATGATGATGATGATGATGATGATGATGATGATCATGATGATGGTTTTTAAATGCTACTATTATGATTATGATTATGAGTATTATTGTTATTGTTTCTGTATGTTGTATTTCTTTCCAAACATTCTTTTTGTCGAGTTGTTCTAGGGCGAATGGGGTTTACAGGCTTTTCAAGGCTGTTGTCGCCGTTTCTCTCTTTCTTGTGAAAAAAATGTAGGATCTTTTTGGGGCCTGGGTAACGCTGTAGGTGCGCATTCGGGTTCTTCCCGAAACCTCCTAATGTCTTCCGTCCCCTTAACCTTGCTACTGGAGTTTAGGGTCAAGGAGGCTTGGTTCTTTCTACTAGGGGCCCTTTTTGGGTCCCGTCTTTCTAAATACGGCACCTAGTAAAAAGGACGCCGCAAAAGGGACCCTCATTTAGAGAGCTTCCCATACTCCTCTGGCTACTTTCGATGGCTTTGTCAAACAATTCGTGGGGCCTTGGGCTTTGGTCTCGGTTGACAGGAGCTTGGGTCTTGTGGGTTTAGGGTTTAGGGTTGATGGTTTAGGGTTACCTTTCTGTAGCACTTGAGCCTTGAAACAGCTGCCCTCTCTACGACTCTGCCCTCTTCTGCACGCCGTGCTGTCCAGCGACATTGTCCCCTTCTACGGTCACCATCCGCGTCAGCAGTATGCAGAGTTTAGCAACTTCTTCGAGCACAAGGAACCCTACGAGTTCACGCTGCCTCCCTTCGCACAGCGGGATGGGTTTCCGACGTCCTTCCAGATTTGGTTCTCTGAGGCAGCCATCATGGCTACCAAAGCTGCGCTCTTCAACGATAAGGATGTGTTTGACCAAATCCTTCGAGCCCTTCGACCTGATCAGGTCAAGTCGCTCGGGCGTCGCGTGCGGAACTTCGACGAGGAAGTGTGGCAGCGACATCTGGAAGACATTGCCTTCGAGGTGGTGTTGCAGAAGTTCCGCTCCCGCGCGTCACTGAAGGACGTGCTGCTGAAGACGGGTGATGCCGTCCTCGTCGAGGCGGCCAAGGACGACAGAATCTGGGGTGTGGGAATCGACAAGTCCGATGCCAGAATCTGGAACCCGGAGAAATGGCGTGGGCGGAACATCCTTGGAAATGCGCTGATGAAGGCGCGTCAGGTGCTGCGGACGGTGCTTTCGGATACCTCAACACAGAAGCACTTCACACCTCAGCACTTCGAAAAGGGAAGCTCCAGCTTCAGTGGCTACGCGCGGAAGACGAAGGCAAGTGAGCCGGAGGTGGAGAAGTCACTTCCAGACTCAGAGCCAGCTCCGCCGGACGTTGCGCAGCTCCCCACGGGTGACGTGGCGGAGAAGAAGATCCGCTCGTTGAAGAAGAAGCTGCGCGACATCGCGAAGCTGAAGGAGAAGGCTGCCGCAGGTCCCATCGACCCGCTCCAGCAGCAGAAGACCTCGTAAGGCCAAGTTGAAGCTGGGAAGCATCGGAGAACTCGTACACCAAGCCATCACGAGTGGCCCGAACCTTCAACTCTTCACCTTCCATCGTGTGAAGTTCAGGACCCCTACACCCTACACCCTTCGCCCTGAACCTTAAACCCGAAACCCCAAAGCCTAAAGCCTAAGCCCTAAACCCTAGCCCTAAACCATCAATCCGTAAGGGGGCACCGCCAGAGCTCTTCTTCTGTTTCGAAGCGAGCTTTGGGGTGGGGGGGGTGGAAAGACCTAAGTTTCGAAGCCAGCCTCCGACGTTCTTCTGGCTTTCGGGTTTCGGTTGAAGGTTTAGGGCTTAGGGTTTAGGAATGAGGGCTTCGGGTTTAGAGTAGGAACATGAGCAGGAGCTTGCAAGTTGTTGAGGGCCTGGTTTCGGGTTGCCAGGACGCGCGTGCTTCCAACCCAGAAACCTGCCTGCTTCCAATCCGGTACAACCTGAAATCCAAGAGCCGAAGCGTTCGACGAAAACTTGAACCCTAAACCCTAAACCCTAAACCCTAAACCCTAAACCCTAAACCCTAAACCCTAAACCCTAAACCCTAAACCCTAAACCCTAAACCCTAAACCCTAAAGCTGTGATTGCAGCAGGTCGAGATTCCCGATCCGGCACAGCGGTGCCTCTTCCAGATACACGCGCCAAGCCCAGCTCAGCGTTACAAGTTTCGGGATTAGGGTTTATGGGGTTTAGGGTTTAGGGTTTGAGAGTTATCGGTTATAGGGTTTGGGGTTTAGGGTTTAGGGTTACAAGTTTCGGGATTCGGGCTTTTGGGGTTTGGGGTTTGGGGTTTAGGGTTTAGGGTTTAGGGTTATAGGTTATAGGGTTTGGGGTTTCAGTATTGTAGGGTTTGTAGGGTTTACAGGGTTTATAGCGTTTATGGGGTTTATAGGGTTTATAGGGTTTATAGGGTTTATAGGGTTTATGGGGTTTATAGGGTTTATAGGGTTGATAGGGTTTATAGGGTTTATAGGGTTTATCGGGTTTATAGGGTTTATAGGGTTTTTGGGTTTATCGGGTTTATAGGGTTTATAGGGTTTATAGGGTTTATAGGGTTTATAGGGTTTATAGGGTTTACGGGGTTTACGGGGTTTATAGGGTTTATAGGGTTCAGGGTTTAGGGTTTCGGGCTTAGGGTTTGCAGGCCTCAACCCGGAACCCTAAAGGCCTAAAGCCCCAATTCAGGTTTCAGGGTTAGGTTTAGTCTTTAGCGTTAGCGGTTGGGGGCTTAGGGGTTTAGCAGGGCTTAGGGCTTGCCAATGTTCAGCGCAAACCACCACGCAGGACGTGTGTTGTGGTGTGCGCGCAGGTTCAGGCACTCTCCCAACCCACCCACCCAAATCTCAATCCTGGGCCCTAAACCTTAAACCCTAAACCCTAAACCCTCAGCCCTACACCCTAAGCCCTAAACTCTAAACCCTAAACCCTAAACAGGGCCTTTCTTGTGATTGTATGCTAGGTCAGGCAGAGGGCTTGGGGCCTCCATGCACTTCTCGGCAAGAGCCCTTTAACAAGACGATAGGGCCTTTTACGACAAGCTTACCGGAAGGACTCTCATAGGGAGGCCTCTCTCTAGTCTTGTGGCCCAATGAGCAAGGATTTGCTGGCACCTTCCATTTTCGGGCTCTTGCAGAAAGTCCCCGCCACCCCCCTCTACGAAGGAGTGCTTGGGCTCAGGGGCGTTTCTATGCAAGGGGGTACCCCGCAAGGGCCTCCTCGCAAGCAGCCGCCCTGTAAAGTCAAGGGCTACCTTGGAGGTTTTATGGGAGACACCCCAGGGAGGGGGAGCGAGGAGTTCCCCACAGGAGGCCCCTCTTACCACGTTAACACGTGGTAACGGTATCGCTCGTAGCTGGCTATCGCAGCTCCCGCGGCTCGCTCCAGTTTGGGGTTGCAGTGGTTTTGGTGGCGATGCCCGAGACCTTGCCGGGTGTCGGGCTCAGGTTTGGGGCTTCCTTGCTTTTCTCAAGAAAGAGTCAGCTCCGGGCTTGGCGGCCGACTTGGAAAGACCCTGCTCCTAGCGGGTTGCGGCAAGTCGGGCAACCCTAAGCCTGCATAAACGTTGAAGTTGAAGAGCTGCTTGGCCCCAAGCCCAAAGCCGAAGTACCAAACCCAAAGTATCCTAAGCCTTAAACTTAGACCCTAAACCCTAAGCCCTAAACCCTAAACCCTAAACCCCACGCACCAAAACGCCGTTGGTTTCGGGCTGCGTCGTCTTTCGCCTTGGTGCTGCGAGGTCTTAGCGGTCGAGGAGCTGCTGGCGCAGGTCGGGCCTAGGGTTTAGGGTTTAGGGTTTAGGGTTTCGGGTTTAGGGTTTAGAGTTTAGGGTTTCCAGCACGTCGGGCCCTGTTGGTGAAGCCCGCCCTGTAGAGTTTAGAGTTTGGGGTTTAGAGTTAGGGTTTAGGGATACTAAGGCCCTATGGAGTTTAGGGTTTAGGGTTTTGTGGCCCTATGGAGTTTAGGGTTCAGGGTTTCATGACCCCAGGGAATTGGGAGTTTAGAAGGTCCTGTGGAGTTTAGGGTTTTGGGTTTAGGGTTTAGGGTTGTGGGTTATAAGGCCCTATGGAGTGTAGGGTTTAGCGTTTAGAGGGTTTAGGGTTGAGGGTGTAGGGACCCTAGTGCCTGAGACTCCAAAGCCCTGCGACCTTTGAAATCCCAACGTTTTGGGGGGGGCTCTATAGCCTTCAACCCCTAAAGCCCTCGATCCTGTCACCTTAGAAGACTGAAGCCAAAACCCTAAACCTTGAGAAGCCCAAGATCCCTAAAAGCCAGAGAGCCTCAACAAAACCCCGAAACCCTCCGCGGAACCCGTCCAGGTCAGATCACAGGCGATGGCGACGCTGGAGGCACACAGTTGGATTCCTTGTCGCACCTCTAATTTAAACACCAAAAGCTCCTTAAACCCTGTCGCACCTCTAATTGAAACACCAAAAACTCCTTAAACCCTAAACCCTACGTCCTAAACCCTAAACCTAGACCCCCTAAACCACTTAATCCCCTTAATAAACCCCTTAAACCCCTTAAACTGGTCCAATCAAAACACCTTACACTCGAAACCCTAAACCCTAAACCCTAAATTCTAAACCCCAACCCTAAAGCCTAACCCTAAACCCTAAACCCTAAACCCTAAATCCTAAACCCTAAACCCTAAACCCTAAACTCCTTAAACCCCTTAAGCCCTTGAAAACGCGGTCACCTGGTGGCCGCGACGACCTCGATGCGGCGCTCTCGACCCGGCGCGGAGAGCCGAGAAGGCATGGGGGAGGGAAGGTTTAGGGTTTAGGGTTTAGGGTTTAGGGTTTCGGGTTTGGGGTTTAGGGTTTAGGGTTTAGGGTTTAGGGTTTAGGGTTTAGGGTTTAGGATTTAGGGTTTAGGGTTTAGGGCTTAGGGTTTAGGGGTTTTGGGGTTTAGGGGTTTAGGGGTTTAGGGGTTTAGGGGTTTAGGTTTGGAGCGATTTCAGGGTGGTAGGGTTTCAAGTGTTTAAGGGGTCACCTTCTTTAGACCTAGACCCTAAACCCTAAGCTTCTAGGGACCCTCAAAGAGGAACCGAAGACACCCTGCTTGTTAGGGTTTAGTTTAGGGTTTTGGGTTTAACGTTGAGCTGCCCCCTAACCCTAAACCTTAAACCCTAAACCCACAAAGAGGCTTAAGTAAGTTGCCGCCTTTTGGCCTGCTGCTTTCAACGATGCCCCGCAAAAACGCCAATAGTTTTCAGTAGAACCAAAGGTTCTCGGGTTTAGGGTTTAAGAAGGACTCCGAGAATCCCGAAACAGACGCCCCAAACACTCTGACACCTTTTGTGGAACCCATAATCGTACGGAGCCTTTCTATCTGGGGGTTTGCGAAAATAAGGGACCCCCAAAGACCTCCAAATAGCAGGATTCCTTGTTAATAAGGACCCCAATAAGGTACCCCTATTTTCGGAAACCCCCATCTAGATTTTCCCACCCCCCCCCCCCGCCCCAAGTTGGGCTTGTAAGTTGGAGAATCCTCCGTGTAACTTATATAAGCACCTACAGGGTGGGGCCCCCTAGTTATAAGTAGAGTTATAAGGGCCCTAAATTGGGTTATAAGGACCCTAAGTTAGGTTATAAGTCCCTTAACTACAGTTAGTATAGTAAGGGGGCCCCACCCTGTAGCCGTGAACCGCAAGCCCTGGACCGAGCGCTGCGCGGCTCCAGCAGCTTCTCCCGTTTGCGCTTCCCAGCCCGACGTGCGCTTGCGAAATTCCAAAGGCGATGGCTCGACACAACCTGCTGGCCACACTGCTTCTTGGGAGTTACAGCGCGGGTGTTATTGTATGTATTTATTTGTTTTTTCTTTTGTGTGTGTGTGTGCGCGCCACGTTTTGCCACCAGTGCTCATACCAGACGAGTCGTCATCAATCATCTTGCTGAGACCGAGAGCACGCCAAGGCTATGTGCACTTCTCGTGCTTGGCGACGCTGGACGCCATCAGCAGCACGAGCAGACCAGCCTGAAAACCGACAGCAAGCTTGACGAGAACGTCTCGACGTCTGTGTGTTGCAGATGCGAAGGTGCAAGCGGGGTCCTCGGCCACTTTAAGTCGCAGAGCTCCTGTTCAAGCCTCAGCAAGTCGTGGATGAGGTGCTCCGAGAGCAAAGCCACATTGTGCTGATACTGCAAAGTGACGATGTCGTGGAACACAGCGGCCACTGAAGGGCCCAGCGTCTTGCTAGCCAACCGGCACTGTGCCGTTGTCATAGTGCGACCTGAATTGAGGGGAAGGCTGCTTTAGAAAAATTAGGGACCCTGCTCGGTACCCTGAGTAAGAAGGAAGACACACTACAACAGAGGGTTTAGGGTCGGGTTTAGGAGACCCCCCCTGAAAGAATCTCAAGGGCACACCTGTATGTTTTACCAACCCTGAGAAGCGCAGATTTGGAAGCATGGAGACGCATCGATCTCTTGAGAACTGCGTAGGCTGTAACAACGACCCGCTCACAGAAGGGTTGAACGACAACTCGTTGCAAGCGCAGGGTACTTGTAACCGAATGAGAGTGTCGGCCTTACGCAGGTGTTCCTCAATCATGAGGCCTCCCGGGTCCGGTAGTCCAGGTAGACTTGGGAAAGAAGTGCACCTAGATTCTAGGAGCCCCCACGTGCGACTCTGAATCAGAGGGTACACAGAGGAAACATGCATCACAGACTCCACATTAGACGTGGGTTCTAAGTATATACGCCTGCGAACCCAAGAACAGGGTCTTCTCCTCGCCCTGTCCGTCCAAAGTTTTAGGCTTTCAGGGTTTCCAAGGCTTAAGGTATTTGCGGGTATACAGGGTTTATAAGGCTTATGGGGTATGTAGGGCTTAGACTTGGGGGGGCGGGGGGTGTAGTTAGAGTTCACAGGGCAAGCCCCAACCTCTGGAATCCAGTTAGGCAACCTGAACCCTAAACACTAAACCCTACACCCAAAACCCTCTAAACTAAGCCCGACACCTTCCCTTGGTGGGCAGGGTGGAGTCTCAGCGTCTTCTTGGCCGGAGCCGCTCTGGGTTTCCCTTCCCTGGGAGAGTGCAGGGTTTAGGGTTTCGGGTTTAGGGTTAGGGTTAAGGGTTAAGGGTTTAGGGTGTAGGGTTTAGGGTTTAGGGTTTCTGGTTTAGGGTTTAGGGTTCAGTAATCAGTGCCACGGGACTAGGGTTCAGGGGTTCAGTGGGTTCAGCTTATGGCTGAAGGGTCTAGGGTTTGGGGTTTAGGGTTCAGGGGATTAGGGTTGAGTGTAGGGAGGGTTTATGGCTTAGGGGTCTTAGGGTCTTAGGGTTCTGGGTTTAGGGTTTAGAGTTCAGGGGATTAGGGTTGAGAGTAGGGGTTTGGGGTCGGGGGGGGGGGGGGGGGGGGGGGGAGGTTCTAGGGTTTTGGGCTTGGGCGTAGGAAGTTTTTCCTCCCAATGTGGAGATCTAGTAAATAGGCGGGCTTCCTTTTTGTGGTGACTTCGTATCTAAGCTCCTTAGAATGCACTTGTCTTTAGCAGAGAGTGTTATCTTAACCCTAAACCCTAAACCCCCCCCCCCCCAATCTCAAAACCCT